GCTCATAACCTCTTAAGAATCAGATCAAGTTTTTGCATATAGCAGTGGCATCTCGAGTAAAGAAAAGCGGTGGTAAAGAAAAATTGTATCGCAACCGTTTATGAGTGAAATGTTGCCTTTTCGCAATCCTGACGAAATGTCAATGAATTATGTTTATGCTGAGGTTTTCCGTAGTTTTACTGTCACACCGCCTTCAGCTGTAACGAACTAGGAGCGTTGCCCAAATAAATCTAGATTGGATAAATTCGTAGATTGCGGCAGCTGGGGGCATGGAGCTGGCTTCGCTGGCAGTTTTTGCGGTCTTGCAGTGTCCCTCTAGTGATGTGCACATTTCCCGTATTTTGGGACTCTTTCGGCTAATGATTTTAGGGCCTTACGACGCGGCTTAAGGCTGTTCGCCAAGACAGCTGGCCTATCATGTCAACAACATTTGCTCTGCCACTGAGGTCTTCAAGAACAACATTGTAGCGGACCCGTCTCACCACCGACACGACATGGTGGCCAGTTGAAAATTGAAGGTGAGGGCCACGCGTACTAATCTGAATCCAATATGCGCTCGTAATGAAGCCTTCAAAAGATCAGTGCTGCCTTACTGATTCGGATTCTAAAGGACCCTCAGGAATTCAGCGACGAACTTACGTACAAAGTCGTTGTAAAGTGTTTTTTCTTTTATTTGATGTATATAACTGTATCTTTCCCAGGTGCTGGAACCGCTCAAAAGTGGATATTTCCTATGCAGTACAGTTCTAATTAAATCTAATCTAACAATTAAAACCATTGTGCCTTTTCCAGCTATTTTTGCATCGTTAACAACATTTGTACGACTAAATGGTCAATCTGTGATCTGTTCATAATAATGGCGGTTGGCAACATTGATTCCCAAATAACGTTTAGGCATCATATATCGAGACCTAAAGCTAGACAATGTCCTAATTGACGTTGATGGCCACATAAAGCTTACCGATTACGGAATGTGCAAGGTATGAATTGTTTTGTTGCAAGCAGATTTCTAACATTTCTTATGAAAGCATGAATAAAACAGTTGTTATATTTAAGCTGTCGGTATTCGGTGTTGTTCAGATTTGCATGTAGCACGAAAACTTGTAAATCATTTAAGATATGTTGTTTCGTATTTTACTATTATTTAAAATACCGTTGATGATTATTTTCCATCTTACCTGAGACATTGCAGAAATATTGAATAATAGAATGATACATTTACTCTGTCGTCCCGTAATATTTGTCAACACATCGCTTATGTACGACATAAGAAACTAGTAAGGATTTGTGGCAGTGCAGCATAGCATAACCAAAAGATTTTAGCAGAAGAGAACTGGGTTTCTTCCATAGTGTTCTCAATGTTTTTTAAAATTTTGACAGTTGACTAGGTGCTTGTCGGCATAGGCAATATTTTGTCAAAAATAAAAATTTCAACCAGGCATAGGCTAGTGTTTCGAAGCAAATGCACATGTTCATTGATTCAGCAGTTGCCCATCGTTGCTTAAAGACATCTAATAAACTATGAACTTTAACAAAAGTGTTTTTCAGTGTTCAGAGGGATGATTTGAAGAACAATTTTCACGATCACACGCGATTCAGATTAAATGAGGATATCCTTTTTATTGTTGTTATTCAAAATTTAACCCCAGTGTTCTGGGGGAGCTTTCGATACCGCTGTTGAATGTATCACAGTAAAAATGATGATGCCGGATTGAAACGGCGAATGCACTCTGTTAATATCTTCATCTTCTTCATCTTCATCTTCCATCGCCGCTTCTCCTTTCGGGTCGCGGAGGCAGACGCGT